ATATCAGTTTGTTACCTGACACTGCTTATAGCAGCAGTAAGAACCTTACACGCCAGTCCAGTCCTGTTTGGTAAACTAGCTGGCATTCTCACTGTAGTGAGTGAGATTATTGCCTACATTCGTTCGTAGATGCCCAATGAAGGATTCCCCTTTGGACGGTTCTCAACTCCACAATACTACGTTCAGGAAACGGCAAAGAATACTTTGATGAAAGGTGGAGGAACACCAGAATCATTGGTAGAGCATTTGTCAGTTGACATCTGCGATGTCCATTGCCAATGCTGACGCAACCCCAGCACCGGAAAATGTCACCGAAAAACGTCGCCGTCGAGCGACATCGTTTCTCCATCTTCACATCCCGGAACCTGCCGCTACTTGGACTTCGGCGTCGAGAGGCTCTGTGGCCGGAAGTGAACCAACAGGACATCATGGCTTTGTTTCCCATCTTCATCTGCCAATTCCTACCTTCGCCATTACTGCACCCGCCGCTGACGGGTCGGGAGGCAGTGTTGGACGGAAATTTAGCTTCGGTCTGCGGAGAGTTTCGCAGACGGTCAGTCACTTGGTCAGAAAATCTTTTGTGTGAAACTCTGATTAACATTGTAGTACCTAACCTCTTTACTGTTTGAATATATCCAGTGAATCAGTGCATATAGGTTTTGGACAACTTAAGATGTCGTCATTGTTATTTAGTTCAGTGCCTTTTGTTGGCAGGCTCCTAGTTTATCATTCATTATTATAAATGTTCAGTCAACACAGTTTTAAATGATTATCGTACATATCGACTGCTATATCACCGATATATTTAATCGCATATCGTGAACATTTAGCCATTGTCCCATTTGTACATACAAATCTCTTGCTATAATCTCCATTTTTATAAGTCTCAGTGCAGTATTATTGTATTATCTAGAAATTATTACAACCATTGTCACTGTCACTACAATTAGATCACTACTTCATTTTGGGTGAAGATGTGTTCTACTGAGGAATGTATTATGACGCACATAAGCACTTGATATATTTTTTCTGTGAAGGCACTGCCTTATAATAGTATATTTTAAATCATCCTGTGTTTTGTGGATTTAAAATTAACAGGTTTGAAATGTCTTTACTAAAATGTTTTAGCTAGTATTTGCTCTTTAACATTGATTGAAGTAGCAGCTCTTATCATCAACTGTCGACTGTATGAATATGTTTAATTTGTCAGTTCGTTATCTAGTGCCAGATTCTATAATCCCAGATCTAGAATTTGAAGATTTGCCTTCTGAGCTCAGGAGTTCATCAAAACAATGAAACAATTGGTTTTGTGGAAATTGGAATATTTATTAGGTAAAAAGTTGATGATTTCATTCAAGATCAGTGATAGATAATTGTTTGACTTAATAACTGGTAAAATTACAATATTGAACTGACCTATTGAACAATGAACGTGAAATTTGTGGTTTTTCAGGTTCTTTATGTACTGGTATTTTGTGTTGTTATGTTACCACATTGTTTTTTTATAACCATGTCTGTAACCTAACACTAACATTTAAGTTGCTGAATGACTAAATCATAGCAAGTTCGCCTAAAATCTGTGCTTGAAATGGGTGACTAAGTACATAATTTACTGAATTCTGTTTTGATGTGTATAATAAGACTTGTTTGTGTTATTAACTGTACTGATACACTGAATTTTATAGGTCACTCACAGTTTTAATCGTAGTACGTAACGATACTTGGTTCATGATAGTACTAAGATTCTGTGAACTAAGATGTGGTGAATAAATATTAGATTGTTCTTTGTTTGTACTGTATAGACACATTTCTTAAACAAGAGTAATAAAATGGATGTTTATATACTTATGCAAAATTTAAAATTAAATTTTGCTTATTAATACCAAATTTAATTCCTGAAAATTCAGTTATTCAGTTATGTTATTTTCTTTGTTAAAAAACTCATTATTGTTTATTGTTATTTGTATGTAACATGGGACTTCCTGCTTATAATTTGATTGTAAGTTTTCTTCTCATACTTAAATTTACTATAATGTGACTTATCATACAGAAAAGAATAACCAGTAGTTCTCAGGAATACTTTATTTTCATAGTAGTGTCTCATTTGTGTAGACGGTTGGAAACAGCTGCTGTTTTCCGTCTCTTTTTTTAATACTGCTGCAAGATAAAAATATGAGGAGTTGGCTTTCAGTAACATGATGTTCAGTGAGGTTTCTAGGATTATCCATTCACGAAACATCAACTGTGGTTTTCCTCTTGGAAAGACAATCCCAAGAAAATTATCGGTTTTTCCAGTTTTGAAAATTGGCACAGGATTGTCATGGGGAAAAAATATAAAAACACAAAATGTTCCACTTGGATAAATAACCCAAGGAAAATTATTGACGTTTTGTTGTGAAAGTTGGGTATTTTGGTATCCACAACTTGTACAGCAGTGTCTTGGAGAGACATATTAGGAAATTGTAGACTTTCTGAATTTCTAAAATTAGGTAATATTTTTTCCAAAAAAAATTTCACATCATAGAAAAAATGTCAATTTGTGAAGATTCTGAATTCAAACTTCTATATTTTATGTAAGTGTCATTGCACCATCTGCATGTCTTGCCTTTTCAGGGCACTCTCAGATGGAATTGACCTCTGAAATTCAGCATATATATAAAGAGGCATTAGTTCCAAGAAATGTGAAAAAATTGGAAACTGTGTCATGGGCTCATGACCCAGTTATTCAACATTGGGCCTGATTTAGTATTTCCTGTCTCCTAAACAGAAAAAAAAATTGCTTATTTTCTTTACCATGCTCCAAGCAAAGTAGATCTTTTTATATTGGTATTCGACACATGTATGTCAGGGGTGTGTTGAATTGTAAGTCAAAAAGAAAAGTGAAAGAGGCTACAACTCCATAAAATACAAGGTAGTTATTGAACTCGTAAAATTATACAGTGTCTGAAACTGAAAGGCAACAAACAGTTCAGATTTTATCTTACTGTTGCTAGAAAAGTGACTAAATTTTTGACTTTGTAGGAGTCAAGTGGTTTCTCAGGATTTTTTCACAGAAATATCTGTTAAACCAGAAGTGGAAAAAGGGAAACAAGAACTTGTATCTGTCTAGTCTACAAAAATAACAAATTCTTAAAGTAGATAGACATCAGGTGCACAAAAAATGTGTTCACAGAAACTTCTTTTAAATGTTGAATTGGATAATTAAATAGACCAAAAATATTTAAACCACCTGTTTTACAAAAGAAAACACAATAAGATATTTTAACTTGTATCATTAGTTATGGGGTGTCTTTATCTTCAGAACGAGCTGGAGTCTTGTGAATTAGTATGTCCAGATTTGTAAAGGAAAAGAATACTACATACTCATTTCATTGTGGTTACTATTTAATGTAATAAATTTAAGGTATGTAACATACCAATGGATTGTCATATCAGAGTATTTTTGTTGCATGGTTGTGTAACTGTTATAAGAAAATGTTTTCACCAGTTGTTTTTGGTGTCTCTATAAGTTAACTAATGTTTAGGAAAATGTACATGTGTGTGTGTGTGTGTGTGTGTGTGTGTGTGTGCGCGCATTATTTTACATAGATATATGTCTTCTTGTAGCTGTACAAAGACTATTGTTTACCAAATGGCTCAACTGAGTAATTAGTGCTCCAGCTTTATATTTGGGAGGTTTCTGGTTCATATCTCAGCTTAGAGACCTGCTGTCCTGGCTAAGGTGTCTTGTGGTTTTACTCAGTTCCTCAAGGCAAATTCTGGGATAGTACCTTAAATAGACCTTTACCATTACTATTCCTTCTGAATCATTTTCAATTCATTAATCATCATATACAGTGCTGTATAGTCTGAGCTACTGACAGCTTTGTTAAATAAACTCCACAAAATGAAAATACCAATATCAGTTATGTTAAAATACTGGAGGATATTAGGCAGGGTTACTGTCCCACATTGTAAGACTTTTCCTGTTAAGGGGCAGAAAAACTCCTAAATTCAGTAACAGTCTCCATGAATTTGTGTATATGCACTCAGGAAATATAATTTAAGAATGTTTTGTTTATTAATATTTATTTATAGATTTCTAATTTTTGTTCACCGTTTTCTATCACAACCAAGACAAAGAGGCAAGGAAGCCCAGGCAGGATGTGTGACATGAGTTAAATATTTATAATTTGTATTTGAGAACAGCAATTTTGTTTACACACAATATTTTTGCAAGGAAAAGTTGTTGTATAATAGGTCTTTATAGAATTCAATAGTATATGGTAGACATTAAATGATGCAATAGTACAAGTAGTAAACTATATATGTTAAAATACTAAAACTTGTTTCCATTATATAAAATTTACATGAGCTCTGAAAGAAGAGGAAAAATTGTGTCCTAATTATCAAAGCAGGCACATAAAAATACTTCCTGATAAAGCATATTAGCAGCTAAATCATATGTTTTTCTGCATATGTCACCCATGTGAATTCAGTGATAATAAATATTTGTATAGGGAACTACAGTGAAGAGGTTGTGCACAAATTATAATAATGGTATTTATCAGGACAGTTCTTCTGTTTTTTTATGGGAACAAAATTAAATATGACCTCATTGTAACAGGTTAAACACTGAACGTTTTTTCTGCTTTGACTCATTTTTTGTATACCCATACTGAAATCTTGTCATTCTTCACCGTGTTGAATTTAACTGCAGAATTTTAGTTATAGAATTTAGACCTCATGTGCAAATTAAAATATCTTTAACAGACTTTATATTTCTTTGCTGAGATATGATTTCTTAACACTATATAAACATGCTGTGAAGATGTATCTGTGAATTGTATTGTTTTCCATGTTCTGGTACTAATAAAAATGTACATGTGTTTGATAAACTTGGATGTGGCTGACATAAATAATTTGTTGGCAGAGTTATAGTGATTGTTTCCAACACTCATTTCTGTTGGCACTAAT